ATCCACTGAGGAAAAACAAAAAGAAAAAAGTATTACTCCTACTTTTGGTTTGACTGTGAATGAAGCAAACTTATTTCCTACGAGTTTCTGAGGTTTTGGTGAAGGCAGTTCATACATGCGAAGTCTTTGGTGTTCCTCAACATGCTGGCAGGGGGCAAAATTTGTGTTGTTACTTCTCAGAAATGAGGTAACTAGTTATGTTGAGACTATTTCCATGAAAAAAAAGAGGAAGAGAATATGCTGAAATCTTGTATAGACACTTCTGCCCTACTGTCCTGTGACAGTACCAATGATAAAGGTATTTTGTAGACAGTGAGTGACAAGAAGCTGTTCTCTAAAATGCTATGCTGGCGTGTTATCAGTATAGAAATTGGCTCACACCAAGATACCTTATGGATCTTACAAGATCAATGGATGGGCAAGAAAGCAAGAATGTGAAATACAAGTGTGTGCTTGTGTGTGATTTACCTGACATTCCCCTCATCTCCTGTGACTTCCATGACTACCTGGGGAGCTTGCAGAAAAGCTGGACCTAGGGCCAACTCAAACCCCACCAGCCCAAGGTAGAGTTTCATTGCAGAAGGCTCAGGCAACAATTCCAGCCTTGAAGATAGATGCTCAGGTGTTTAAGTCTATTAATAACTTAATTTTATAGTAGTCTTTTGCCAGATGTATTTATTGTGTCATGCCAACACCTCAGGACTACAGTGATTCAAGGTGGTTTAAAGGCTGCCAGCTGCTGGCTTTAGTGGCCTGGGCACTATATGTTCTCAGCCAGGTGGGTAGGCAGTGGCCCAGATTGAGATAGCCAGCAGTGATCAAGTTGCTTCTCTCTCTTTTATTTCAGAGCTATATTACTGTGTACTGTTTGGTCTGCAATAACACCCTGAAGCTAGATATGCTGGTGGAACTTAGTAGCAGCAGGAGGAGGAGAAGGACAAGGAACAGGAGGAAATGTCTTCTCCATAGAACCTGCAGTCCCAGTTCCATTGCTCAGTTCTGAGGCAAATAAAATGAGATTTTGTGGTTTGCTGAAAATGCCCTTGCTTTGCTGCTACCTGCCTTTGGTGGAGGTACCAGAGACTAACTTCAGCCACACAAATCTGAGACCAAGCATAAAATCTAAATGTGCTGAAATAAGGGAGTCTCTGTTAAACTCATCCTATTTTTAGAAGATCCTCTGTGGGAAAAAAAATCAAAGTCTAATTAAAAACAGACTTTATTGTTGCAGTAACCCACAGTTTCACATGTGACCCTGGGAGTCTTCCACCTCTCTGGATTTGTTAAATCTTGTTAACTGCTTGAGTCCTGCTTAGATTCAAAGTCAAGTCTGAGTACTACCTTCTCCTCCATATCTTGCTATTTTCAAGTCACAAAATGAACATCACCCTTACTAGGATGCTCTGCTCTCTAATAGGTATTTTTTAAAAGCACTACTTCCAATGATTTAATGTCTCTTCCTTTGGTAACTGTAGGTTTTGTGTTTTTGTGTGTGCTAATCTCCACTTAATCTTTCTTACCATTGCAAATAACGTGGAGGAAAAAAATGTCTATGCAGAACAGTAGCTTGGAAATTGTACTTTTTTAATTACTGCCTGTGAAGAAATCTGTTTTTCCACCACGTGACTTGCATACCTTTTTAGTGGCATAACAGGTTCTGAGGAGAGATCTCCACCACAGATAGCAACATGAACTTCCTTCCTTAGGAGGCAATTTCACATGGTATCTATAAGATTCTCACAAACACATTGTCTTACAGTTACTCCCTTTGTGGTGAATGAAATGGAGGGGGTTTGGTTCTTCCCTTTGATAGCCTCTATGCTTTGTGGGTTGTAAGTAATGTCCCTTTGATAGCCTCTATGCTTTGTGGGCTCTAAGAAAGGGTCAGGACATGCCTCTGGGCATGTCTCTGCTTCTCTTCCCTAGCCAGCCACCTCCATGGCACTGCAGCAGAGCAGCAGATGGGCACAGCAAACACAGTTGACCATAGGACAGAAATCTTAGTGACTAGTCCTTGTGGACAACAGATCCTTACTACATTTCAGTCTTCCACAAGCTGACACCATTAGTATCTCCAGTGTCACCATTCAGAAGTCATCAGCAGCTGCATGCCAAAGGACACTCAAGGATTTGGATGCAATATCCAGACATCCATTCCACAAGGGACGAGGGTGGCAGGGAAGGGGAGTGGCAGCCCCACTGTGAGGGATGCACTGTGCTCTGAGGACACTTCTGTCCTTGATTTTGGAGGCTGACAGGAAATTGTGGGATCAGTGAGAAGGTTTGCGAAGTCTTGAGAGGCTTGTTAAAATGCATGTCCCTGAATTTCTTCCTGCAGTGTGCTATCCGTCTTGGGAAAACAGCTGAGAAACAAGTGGGAGGAGGGGCTAGTCAGGGGATGGGGTGCACTTCCCACTGTGACAGAAAAAAAGCAGTGGGGATGTTCTCCCTGTTATGGCAAGGAGGACCTTGGCTGTACAACTTGTGTGCACCTCAACCCTCCACATCTCTGTCTCACCAGGAGCAGCAACATTTGACAGCTGCACATGAGAAGCAGCAAGGTGGGCTGCATGGGGCAGCAGTGCTTAACCAGGATCACCATTTCTCAGCTGCCAAGCTCTCTTGCCAGATGGCACTATCTCAGCACAACAACACTGGAGCAGAGGTGGTGATGAGAACCTGTGTGATTGGTCAGCATGAAGCTCTGCTTACTTTCCATCTATCCCCCTTGTTCAGGTACGAGCAGACCATGAGACCTAACAAACCTCAAACTTCCTGACAGCAAGTTGCAGAGCCACTAATTTCCACCCTTTACTAGGCAGGTCTCCTGAACCTCAGTTAAAACCTACTTGCTGGTGCAAGAGCTCTATGTCTTCTCACTCTTACTCAGCAGACTGTCAGCAGAACCCCCCACTCCCAGACATTTGCATTCAATTACCCTGAATTTCATCACAGAAAGAAAATTTTGCCTGACTGCAGCTTTGGAAGGGGCAAAAACAAATGCCACAGGTCACAACCTGTTACATCTGATCCTCCATCCAGATTTACCACGTTTCATTTTTTCACCCTCCCTGTTATGTGGTGTTGATGTCAGATCCTTCTCCTGGTCAGACGAATCTTACAAGAAATTTGGTTATTAATCAGATTTTGCAGGGATTGAAGGAAAGTTGCAAACACAAACAGGGAAGCATAAAGCTCTTGCTGTTCTTGTGAAATGACTACTGCTGTTTCTTTGTAAAACCACACTTGTATTTCCTCTGCTGCAACTTCTCATGCCCCTCAGGTTCCCCAGGGGAAGCAACGAAAATACTCATCAGAGAAACAGATCAGGCATGAGAGAGATGATTACCGAGTGTACCAATGGCATAATTGGGGCATTTTGGGACATAAAATAGACCCACCTGCCTCTCTGTGTTAGCATCATTACTAGCCATTCACAAATGTGAAGTAAATTAAACAGTAAATGTAAACATTTATAGCTCTTAAAATCAAGAGAACTTGCTAACAAGGAAAGACTTTGACTGAGGGGTAGCATGCATTATGATTGAATGCTAGTGCTGACAGGACGGTAGATGAGAGTTATACCTGAGCTGCATTCATGATTTCCCCCAGGCTAGAGCATGCAAGAGACAGCACATGGGCATGTCAGTGGAGTGGGGAGCAGAGGGAGGCTGCCCCCCAGGCTAGAGCATGCAAGAGACAGCATATGGGCATGTCAGTTGAGTGGGGAGCAGAGGGAGGCTGCCTATGACACCCTGACCCAGCCACAATGGGAAGAAGTCCTGACATCTGCCTCCCCACCCTCTCTCTAAACTGAACAATAGCTGACTAACACATACCTGAGGGATGCTAGAGGTGGTTTTCACAGCAGAACTCAAACAGCCTTGCCCAGGTCACATTTCTGTAACTGGTTTGGGCCTTGGTTCATTTACCTGCTCTCGCTGAGTGTAACACTTAAGTCACACCATCGTGTGACAAATATTGAGGTGTGAAGCCTTTGGGATTAGAAATCCCATACATGTCCCCCAGTTATTCATATGTCTAAGTGCCTATTGAAAAAGAGCAGCTTTTTTTGCCATTTTTATTTTTTTAAATTGCTGTCACAGCCATTCATCCCTCCCATCTCAGCTGAAAGAAAATCAAGAGCATAAACTGATACACGGATACTCGTTCAAGATCCATCCTACCTCAGCTTAAAGCAACATGCTACTCCCTCACTGAGGACTCAGCTTGACTCCTACTAACCTGCTGTGGGCAGGAGCATTAGCTTAGGCTAACACAGTCCCCCTCTTAGCCAAACTGTGGAAGTGTTTAGTAGATTGACTTGCTCAGAGGTGTTTCTTATTCTGCTGGGTCATGCATTCAAACGCCAAAATTGTGACTCATTAAAAGGGCAAGTTTGGACTAGAGGGGTGCAGGAAGGAAGAAAAATAGCCTGCAAGAGCCTTCCTGTTTATCCATGACTTGGGAAAAGAAAAAAAAAACCAGCACCACAGAATACACATATCCTGGCTCCATTATCTTTGCTGGCACAGCACTGGCTTGGCTCTGTCCCTTACCACTCCAGGCCAAATCCATCCCGTGTTTACTTTAAAGGAGTTTACTTGAGAGAGAAATCCGTCCCCCGGAGCCTGAATGCTCGCAGTGTGTGAGCGAGTGCCCACGGGCACCAAGAGCCCCCGTGACAATGCCACGGCACTGGTCCCCAGCCACACCAGGGAGGTCATTTTCTCCTCAGCAATTAGCGAAGTGGTGGCATCACTAAAAGAAGTTGAATAAACACATTCAACCCAGCTGGGTTCCCAGTTTGCTCTGTTCTCACCACCCTTCCTTCTGGGTGCACAGTGGGGCCCCAGCAAGCAGGAGCCCGATGCCTGTGCACTGTGCTTTCATTCAGGCCTGGTTGGAAAGGGCTTTTAGGAAAGAAGAGGAGGGGGAAATAACCCTTTGGTTCTCTTCTTTTAAAACAAATGTCTTCCTTTTCTTTTCAGGGAGGAAAAATGCCAGCTTCCCTAAGAAAACTGCAGCAAATGGCTGTTTTCATGGGACTGTTCAGCGGCAGGGGATGCATCGTGATGTATAATCTTATGCAAAGTAAGTCTCGATGCTGTTAGCAACCTTGTTTCTCCTCTGCCCCTTTCACTGGCTTTTGTGTAGTGAGGAAAATAGCAGCCTGCAAGATGTGAAAAGCAGGTGAAGTTAAGGGAACTGTGTCTGAGTCTCTGAATTCTGGCTCTGTGGGATATGCTTAGTTTACCCCCAGGGCTCTCCTAACTGCTGCTGCATGCATTTCCAGGGGCAGATATTGCATAGGGAGCAGGTTGTTGTGTCGGAAGAAAGTCTGGTTTTTGGGAGTTTCCTGAGGGTGAGGACAAAGTCACAGCTTAGGCAGTAATGCAGGTTTCATTTCTTAAATGAGATTTTATAACTGGGCAGTAAAAGAGGACCATCTGTGAGAAGGTATTAATGTCTAGCAGTTTTATCTGTAAAGCTCTTAGTGGTGCTGGCCCTTAAACACAGCACACCTGTGAAGTGCTAAGACATGGTTTGTTTCTCCTGAATGAAGAACATAAAAGAGCAGTCAGCACTGAGAAGACCAGGACAAGCAGAAGTTACTGTTTATAGACATCTCTAGAAGCTGCATGTCTTTGACCAAGAATTCAAATTATTAGTCCCAATGACAGATATTAATTCTTTCAAAATCTGCTACTAGACCTAGAAATAGGCTTTGCCTCCCTCTCAGGGAGTGCTATAGGCCTCTTGGCCCTATGCCTCTCCCATGGTGGTTCTATCAAATGCTTTTTGGAGGATGTTGCCAGAAAAGTGTAGCTGAGCCTGTTTCTCAAGCCCTCAGATAAGCTCTGAAACCTCCCCTTCATTTTACACATATTAATAACAAATCAGACACAGATGGAAAGCAGGCTTTAATTTTAGGCAGCCCATACCCTCAAGCTCTAGACTACATGACAGATAGACGATCCTTATACTTTAAAATATTGAATCTGGTTTTAACAAGGACATTAGCATCTTTTAATCTGAAGCTTCAGCACTGTTATCTAGAAATCTCATGGGGAAGTCACCCCCTGTGCTATTCAGCAAGTCAGAGAGCTTGTTCCCCATATCACTTAGCTGTGCAATCAAGTGGTACAATGCAATGGCTACTTCTTGCTCTGTTGCAATATCAGTGGCCACCAAGTATCTGACTGGTAACTCAGTGGCAAGGCAACCAGGATGTTGAAAAGACACTTTCTGCTGCTGAAAGGGTCCTTCTGTAGCCTCTAACAGACACAGAAGCCACACTCAGAGCCTTCCTCCCTTCTGTCTGGTCCAAATATGGACCAGCGTGGACAAGTGGCTTCCATAGTGGTGGGAGCAGGGGGAGACGGTTGCTTCCCTTCCCTTCCTTCAGGCTGAAGGGAAGTTTGTATGCACATGGTCTCTGTGCAAGCTTGTACAAACACTCAGGTAATCCTATTTCTACACATTCTCATCACCTCCACACCCTTCTTATGGAAGCAGTCTGCTCAGCCAACTCCAGCATCCTTTCAGCAATCCTATCAAAAGATATATGGATTAGTTGGGTGTTTTTTTGTCTAATGCACGAGATATTAACAAGGAACAGCTGAGAAGGAGCACCAGGAAACTAGAATCCATTTCCCCTCCAACCTGCAGGATAAACACAGCGAACTTTTAATGTGGTCTGAGTGGCCATTTGCCGTGATCTGTAAGCACTTAAGGGCTGGCATGCTGCAACCCCTTTTGCTGGAGCTCCTTAAGATGGGCCAGGGAGGACCAGCACACACTGCAGCTTAGCAAAGCTGTTTCTATTCCAGCTGGATGCTGCCTACTCACAGGGGACGCCTCTAATTAGGTGCTGTCCTCTCTCCTACTCACAGGGGACGCCTCTAATTAGGGAGAGAGGACAGCACCTTTCTGCCTCACACTCCAGGAGTAACACTGACAGGAAACAAACCTTACACTCAATTTTAAACTCTTTGGAAGGTGAAGGCAAAGTTGCATGGTAGGCTTTTCACAAATGCACACTCTTAGCTTAATTCTGTCATTCTTGATGTCAAGAGAGAGAAATTACACCGGCATGAAGTGCATCTTGAAATCTCAGCAAGCAAGCCTTAAAACTGTTAATAAGCAAATCTCTGCCTCCATAAGGATGGTCAGCAAGTTTCCAGTGTCTCAGCTCTACACTGTCCATTGGTGACCACTGCACAGCATTTCACAGCTACACATAGCAACCAGACATTGATAAATGGCAGTTTACCACAATTGTCCTCCATATGCCAACACTGCAGCATCCTGTCTACTGTGCTATTGTGGCTGCTTGACTATTAACTCTAATGGTGCTTCTTTGTGCCTCCCTTTGAATACATCTGTCAGTAGAGTTGCAGCTTCATGGCTGCCACTTGGAAAGCTGTGTCAAGGCCACAGCAAAAGTTGCAGCAGCTGTTCCTGTTTCACATCAATGTCTGCGTCAAGGCCACAGCAAAAGTTCCACAGCAGCAGCTGTTCCTGTCTCACATCAATATCTGCAAAATGTTCTCCATTCTTAGAGTATTTTATATAACCCCTATATAAAAAACCCCAAACAATTATTGAATTACCATAGGAACATTTCAGGTATTCATCTGTATGCCTTTTTTTTTTTCTTTTGTTCCTTTTAGATGACCTATGAATGCACAAAAAGTGGGGAGAGACAGCCATAAGCTGAAGCATATATCAGTATGGAACAAGCTATGTTCAGAACCCTCTTTGCTTAAATGAGCTGAATAACATTTTCTTCTCTGATGTAAGGGTGTGTTTTCTCCTTCAGCAAAATTTCTCCTAATTAGCAGTTTTGGACTGTATTTCAGGAAGGGTGTGGTAGTCTGGAGGAAATGTCTTTTTTTTTTTAAAACTTATGTTTTTATTTTAAGTGAACAGTCTCCTCCTACCCTGTTTCTCTCACCTAGAAAGTTTTGCCAGGACCCAGTATTACCAGCAAGCTTTGGAGCAACTGAACAGCAGCCCTGATGCCCTGGAAGCCCTGGGAGCTCCCCCTCTTAAGGTCCACAACATCCGACTGACAGATGGGAGTAATCGCGTAGACACAGAAAGAGCACAGGTAGTGCTGGGGAGGTGGTGTCACGGGGTGGCTTCCCAGGTGACAAGAGATCAGTCAGGGGATTTTCAGCAGGTCATGAGTCACCTGGGGGCACGGGAAGGCAGTAGGGTGGGATACCAGTAGATTTAGAAGAGGAATGGATTTCCAGAGCACAGATCTACTAGACTGGAAACAACAAGAGCAGCACCTTCATGGTGTGCTATACAAGCACGTCACAGAATGCCAAGGGACCTCTTAAGCCAGTCAATCTCCCTCCTGCCACTGTAAGCCACAAAATAATTTTCAGAGATGTATCATATCCAGCTTTAAAATAGCACCTGCCTCCCTTTCCCTGCCAGGTATGTCCTGTGCTAGTTTTTAAAGCTCTGTTCAGAATAGAGTTTTATAGCCGCTTGTGGGCTATGCTGTGGTACAGCACAAGTGGTGTGGTTTTTAAAAGCACCTCTGAGTTTGTGTCATGGAGAACAGCTGCCCTGCATGAGAGTGAGCGTGGGGGTTACATAATGACTAGGGAGTGCTGCCCTGGGTGCCGAAGTATTGCACAAGGCATTGTGTCAGCCCAGGGCTGGGCCCAAGCAATCCCCACAAACACAAGTCCACTTCCACTCAAAGTCCTGTAGAAGACTTTCCAGCAGTGCTTTTACCCCATAATCCAGGACTGTCCACCCTTCCCTTGTTTTGCTGGTGACACAAAATGTCCCTAGCAACCTCTCCAGGTCCTCCACTGGGGTGACTCATCACATTATATGATTTTGTTCTTCCTGGTGACAAGTTCTGAATCCTGGGAACCAAGTGTGGACATTAAGGGATGGCACAGGTGGTACAGTGAAGGAGAGGAGCTATCAGGCCAAGATAAAAAACCCCAACCCAACCTTTAACCCACTCACATAAAATAAAATTCCTTTCCATTTCACTCCAGCCAGGCTTTGCTCACATGATACCCTGGGCCAAAATATTTCCCAGGGTTTTTAGATTCTACCAGGAGACATATCTAAGGCAAAAAATGTGCAAATCCCCATACAATCTCTTATACTGACTGAAAAGAAGGTAACCTTTCCCACCGGTGGTTTCCTATGTCACTGTTTAAGAATGCTGGTCGCTTGGGTGACTCAGGGTGAAGTCAAACCCTGCCTTCTACAGACCTCACCCAAGACACAAACTACCAACTTTCTTCTCCAGCTTTTCATGCTCCTAAGCATTCATGTTCTCATGAAATAAACTAGTTAACTGTCATTATACCATAGGCTGATTTACTGATTCTACAACATTCTCAGCTCCTGGGTCTGTTGGAGAACACTTGACATTTTCTCTATGTTATTGCAACACCACCAATGCTACACCTGAAACATATTTCTCTTATTCAAACATTAGGCCAAGTGCAATTGGCCATGGTCACTGCTGCAGCTCCAGCCTTGTTTGTTAAACAACTGAGTGATGCAATTTGCAATACTGGAAAATCTCATTGCCTCAGTGTGTGTTATAGGACTGATCTATAGTGGATCTCAACCTACAGGCTTGTTATGGTTATGGGAAGTGCAGGTCTGCCTAACAGTGCAGGTCACCTCTGGATGACCATGCATTCTGGTAAGGAAAGGTGTTTGCTCATAAATATTTCAGAGAGTGAGTGGTTTTCCCTGAGGGTTGCAGTTGTAACACAGTACATTCTTTCAGCAGGGAGAGATTAATGTATGGCAGAACAGACATGCTTGCATAGCCACACACGTGTTAGCTGTTAGAGTAGTTCAGTCAAACTCACAGTAAAAAAAACCAATTAGAGTTTAAGTGAAAAGGGTGTTACGTCTTTGACTGTAGAAGAAGCAAATGTCTGTTTCATAACATGCTTTGCTGAATCTTTAACATGCTTTTCCATTTGCAGATAAAGTTACCAGTATCTGGGACAAAATCAGCAGGGTACCTCTACATTAACTCTGAGATGGACCACTCCCGACAGTGGTGTGTATGGGGGGAGGTGCTGGGAGAAATTCATGGCTGTGGGGAAAGGAGTAGTAGGAGAATATAGTAGAGCAGGATGTTTGCTTTAGTCATCCATGTTGCTGAGATCATGCACACAAAGCAAGCGAAAATTCACATGTGAAGGTCTTATGAAAGGCTATTACTGTCACTATGACAAAAATGTAAATTAGTTGAGAAATAAATATATTGAATTCATCTCACTGAAGGCAAACACAAGAGCAACATGAGTCATTCATTTGTGTTCAGTGTGTTCCGCAAGCTGTAGATTGGTATATATATAGAAATACTGTGAGCTAAGGTAATGTATTGTCCCCTCCCACCCCTCCTCCCCAGGGAGGTGCAGAGGCTGTTGAACAGCAGTCCTAACTCTAGTCTGGTGTTATGACTTGCAGTAGGGGAATCACAGAATATCTGAGCTGTGCAGGGTGAGCCAGAAATGCAGGAAATTTTGTTTCAAGCTATCCAATAAATGCAGTCCTTATGGTTAAAAAAGTGCTAAAGAAATATATTATGGTGGAAGGATGCTCTGATTCCACATCATACAGTACCAACTGTACATTTTTGTAGTACTGAATCCTGAAAGCCTCTGTTGCCAAGGGTAAACTGGTTTCTATACCTGAACAAAGACTTACTAGGGGAATTCAAAGTCCATCTTCCGTTGCAAAAGGGAAAGTTTTATTAGATACAAACCTCCTTCTGTTAGCTCTATTTAGAAACCAAAAGCTATAAAACTTTTGTTCAGCTACCATCAGCCATATGGTGATATTTTATTTTCATTAATGAGCATGACTTATTGGATTTGTCTTCTGAGTAAGTAGAGTATAAAATGTGAGGAAGGCACTACGCTGGAACTTGAGATACTCAAGATCAGGCCTGGCCTCCTCCCTAGTGACCAGAGATAACCCCAGAGGTCCCTAACCACCTTTCTGGCACACCTTGCTTCCCTGATACCTGAGCACTGATCTCCTCAATCCTCCTTAGCCACTTCTCACAGACATTCAGTTCCCTGTTATTCCCTATTCACAGTTACTATGAGGATAACTAACTGAAGACAGCAAGATGTTAAACTACAGCAAAGCAAACATCTCTTTCAGAGTTTTGTTTTAAAGTGAGGTTCCCATGCATTTCTGCAAGCTTAAGAGGAAGTAAAAAAAGCATCTCTTTGTAAAAGGATTTATGGCAGGTGAATCTGTCAGACTCAACCATCTTCACCTACATGCAGGGTCCTGCACATAGCTCCATGTGAGGCTAAGGCAGGACTTGGTGTCCTTGCACCCTGCTGAGGAACTAACAGTGAAATGGCTGGGAGTAACAAACATGTAAGCAGGCCATCCTAGTGGGACTCTGCACAGTATGTATGTGTGCTTTTCCACTGGAGACTGGAGAGACAGCCAGCCAGACACAGACAAAGCTAAATGAAACCAGGAGTTGAGTGCTCTGTGCAAGAGCAATTGAAGCTACTAAGCCGCTGAAATGCATCTGACGCTGAGTGTCAGTCTGTCTGTAGTGCTTTTTTTATTTATAAATGAGAAGGCAACAGGAAAAAAAGTGATATTTGGAGTCTGTGAGCTCATTTGGGCCAGGAGGATGAGACATTCACTCAGGCACTCGGGCAGTACAGTGGTAGAGGTGCAAGGGCAACCAAGGCACCAGTTCTGCAAAATGAATCTTGCCTACTCCAGAATAAGCAGAGTGAAGGGCTGAGACCCCAGACCACGATGTGGGGATGAGGGAGCATTTCTTTCTTCAAGCCCAGCTGTAAAGGAGGCAGTTGCTTGCCCTGGGTTGAGGGTGGACTGCAGAGGGCTTGTGAGCAGAGCCTTGCTGCAGAGCCATTGCACAGAGGTGTGGCAGCCTAATTACCTAATTGTATGTACTCAGCACTGACTCCAGCAAAAGCAGAGCTGGGTGAGTGCCAGAAGCTTTTGAAAAAATCCTGTTTTAATGCCCCAAAATAATAGCCCTATTCCAGCTGAAAAAGCAGCATGAGCAGTCTCTCAGAAGTGGGTTTGGAGCACAGTTTAGAGGAAGGAAAAGACTCCCCCTCAGTCTCCAACAAATGCAGTTTTCCTCCTTTGGGTAACCACTGTCATACCCTGTCAGGGTTTCAGCAGTCACATTGAGCGATCACACAGTGTTCAAACTCCTCCAAGCCAGGATAATTCCTTAGCAACACCTTCTGGCTCCGAGGCTGGAGAGGAGTGGAGCAAGGAATGCACCCGCAGGATGGAGAGTTAAAAAAAAAAAAAAAAGCACAGGGTTAGGGAAGGAATGCCCTGAGAAGAGCTGGCAGGATTTTATTTGAATTGCAACAAATAAAAACATGCATCCCAGACCTTTAAATCTGTGCTGTGCTATGCTCTCAGGGAGAATGGCTTTCAGAAGCTGTCACTCACAAACCAAGTTTTAAATACTTGAGAGAATTTTTAAAAGGAATGAATGTGTGGAATGATTTGTTTCTCTGTGCCAGCTGTTTCTATACTGACTTTACTACTGTATTAAAAGCAATTGATACAAGTTAAAAATCTCCTTTGGTTTGTGTCAGCTGGTGCCTGCAGGATGTCACCTTGAAACTGAGGGATGGCCAGAATATTCCTGTTTACCACTCCCCGGTGGAAAGAATTGGTGTGTAAGAAGGCTAACAGCCAGAGACAGCTGCCTCTCTGCCTCCCATTGAGCCACAGGAGCCATTAATCGATTGTATCCTGCGGTGTCCCTGAATCTACACAGTTGTCACAAGTGACTGTTTTACTTAAGTGGGTGCTCTCAAGACAATTTTCTCTCCAAGATTGACCTCATCATTGTTGTAATTGTAATTTCTTTCTTTTGCTGGTTTATTCATGTGTTCAACAGAAGCCTAAAATAAATACCTTGCAAAAGACTTGCTGTTCCAAGAGAAGTCATGTATTATGCCCTGTGTGTGCTGGTATTGTGAATTTGAAATAAATAAACAAAATTCCAGGAAAATGAGCTATGTTTTACAATTGCAGACCAAAATCATGACAGTTGGGCTGCCCTGTCATGGCTAGAAGACCAAGTTAGCTTCTCAAAGTGATTCCCTTGCTGCTTCAGTATTACTTAAATCAGGAGGGACAAAGCAGCAAAGGTGAAGCTCAGCAGCAGCACCCTCCACTGCACATATCAGGTAGATTTGCACCCTCACAATTATCATTAAAAAGCTTACAAGATAGCCGAGGCTACTCATCATAACTTAGAAATTCTGGGAAGACTCCTTGCTCATGCTGAAGATTACTCAGAAGAAGCCACAGCTTCACACCAGCACTGCCTGACATGAGTTTAGGAGAGGACATTTACTTAGGGAGGAAAACACTCGGGAAGTGCAGAAAGGTAAAACACTTCCAACTGTTCGCTCTGACTACAACATGAGATTTTGATCGTGCCATGATTCTGTTCATCAGACAGAGAATTGCCCATCACCAGAAGCATGTTGAAGAATAAGCAAAAACCCACTCAAACAAACAAAAAACCCCAAACCAACACAATTTCCACCCCCATCCCAAAATGCACATGCAAACAATTGCAAAGCCTAAGGCACAGTATGAGACATTGGAAAAACACAAGTAATTACCCTGCCTTCATACCTTAAAGTAACACATGAGCCATTAAGAACATCCAGACAAAAGAGTATTTTGGATTCACTGCAACAGAGATGCTTAATTAAGCTGCAGCTAAGGAACGTTCAGAGCTTATACCGCTCAAATCCCTTTCCTTCCCTCCTCCATCTCATCCAAATTTGAGTCCTAGAAATCTACCAAAGACACAGGCACTGTCAAGCATTTTAAGAGCCATGAGTATTAGATAGGGAACGGAGAGCTTGAGCAAAGAATCATTAAAACCAGTGAGCATTTTTGTGTTCAACAATGACCCAGCAAACTGGGCAAAGTGGCTTTTGGACAAACCTGACAAGCAAATGCCAAAGTAGAATGAAGGAGATACTAAAGAACTACAGCAAAGACACCTCGGACAAACAATTTTAGAAAGAAACAATACACATGTGCTTTAGTTTGAACTTCACAAAGGGCTGTTGGGATGAACAGCACTTGTGAGACCTGATCCAACCCACATGAAAGCCCAGCACACCAGGGAAAGGATTTAGATGAATCAAAGAGAGAGAGCATTACCCAGCTTTAAGATTCAAATCACTGCTTGCTGCTTTCACAAAACAAAATATAAACTCTGTGATGAGAAAACATTAGCCTTGCACTACTGCAGCCCACCTAGCAAGAAAAACATCTGAGAGACAGGGAGATCTTCTGGCCACCTGGTGTCTCAGAGCTTGATAAACTCTGGCTTTTGGTCACTGAAGAAGTTTGGCGGGGAGTCAAACAGTTGTCAAGAAAAAGCCAAATCGACCGCTTCCCATCGCGGGGAGTCAAACAGTTGTCAAGAAAATCCAAATCGACCGCTTCCCATCCATCAATTACCACTTCCCTGGCTGCAGCTTTGATTTGTTGCTAATCTCCAAAGATGTTGTGGCTGTGGAGAGCAACCCCAGTCTGTTCAGTCCCTCCCTATGCCTGCACTGGAAGCATGTGTCACACATTGCCTTTCATCTGCCTTTTGTCACCATGTACTTAGTAAGCCTGGGCCCTGCAATAGCTGCAAGGTGTACAAGTGTCCAGGAAACCTGGCCACAACCACCCCAGCCTTCAACAAAATGTTTGCTCACCACCTCCCTGTCTCTTGAGCTGGCACACACAATATCCCCACTCTGGCTTCACAAATTGCTGCACCACAACACCTCTGCCTGGCCTGGCTCTAATCCTGGAGTTCCAGGCCTGGAGGAGATAATCCCCACACAAACCTTACAGTAATGCTGGAGATTTTATTACATTGCTTGTGGGAAGCAGAGCTTGTGAAGAGGCTCCATTTCTCACTCTCCCCCAAAGATCCACAGAGCACACCTTTAACTTTGGACACTCCCAGTCATTTGAACCGACCCACAAAAGCTGCCAGAGTGGGCAGTATCATCATATCATACCAATGGTTCTCTAAATCAAAGCCTTAAACCCAGAGAAGGAAGGAAGCATTGGATGGAGCTGAAAGGCAGCAAATCAGTGGAGTAGGACAAGAGTAAAATCACAATCAAATCCCTGCCTTTGTTTTAATACCCAATATCCATTAAACACAATTTCTTACCTCGTGACCTTGCCTCAGAAGCTACTTCCTCTTCACATTTGAGCTCTTTTAGGATGCATACAAAGAGAGAAAAAAGCAGCATGCTAGTATCTTCATTGCCAAGCTGCTTTGGCCATGTGGTTCCCATTAAATACATCACAGCCCATGGAGGCTGCTTTCAGAGACGACACAGGTGCAGCAGGAGCAGCCAAGGGAGCTGGAAGATGCCAGGAAAACAGGGAGAGCAAAGGTCTGAGAACCACCAGCAGCTGCTGAAAGCCCAAACAACTTTCAAAGAGTGCCTGAACACTTCTCTTCCCCTGTGGTCTTTTCTTCTAAGGAACACTGGAGCAGATTAGGTTCTATTCAAATTCATCATGTCACTGAAGCACTAATTCATTATAATTATATTGTGTTGCATGTCACTGAACATTAGTCTAAGACAACAATTTCATTTTTATTGAGAAAATATTTATCTTTTGATAAAAGACTCTTCTAGCTCCCCACAGAGTGGCCAAGGTTGGGAGGAGCCTTCAGAGATCATCTGGTTCAACTGCTTCAGTCCCACCAGGGTCAACTAGAGCAGCTTGCCTGGGACTACAGCCAGACAGGTTTTGAAGATCACCAAAGACAGAGACTCCACAACCTCTGGGCAAGCTGTACTACTGTTCAACCACTCTCACAGTAAAAAAAAAGCTTTTTCTTATATTTAAACAGAATTTTTTGTGTTTCAGAATGTGCCCAGTGCCTCTTGTCCTGCCACTGGATACCACTGAGAAGAACTTGGCTCCATTCCCTTTACTCTTCCCCCACAGATATTTATATACACTGATAAGATCCCTCCCTGAGCATTCTCTTCTCCAGGCTGACAATCCCAAGTCTCTCAGCCTCATTAATGGATGCTGCAGTCATGTTCAGTATGTTAAATAATTTCTTTTTAATTGGTTTGAAAATTTGCACAGTTCTCTTTTCAGTTTTTGGTGTGGTTAAAACAACCTTCATCTTCATGACCTTTGCTGGATTGCATGTTTGTTTCTTATTCTCTAGTTTGATTTTAATCACTTCTGCCAGTCAGTCATCACCCTCAAGGAAACTATCAAGGTGGCAGACTGTTCAGGGCAAGGACTTCATTTACAGCAGAGGAACAACAAATATTGCTCAGCAGACTGTTACAATGTTTGCACATATTTGAGCTGGACCTGACTAGGACACAGAGGCTATGTAAAACCAGAAGTATCAAAAGCACCAGATTCAGAAAGGCTAAGTAGGCTGATATGTTCCCTTTTGAGTATGCTTCTTTAAGGAGTAATAGGGTTTTGTCCAACTTACAGACCACTCAGCTCACTTCCTAGCTTGGGCAAATGCCTTGCATTGCACAGAACACAAGTCATTTGTATACATCTCTCATTTAGAAATGAGGATGCATCCTGGTCTTTCCTGCCATTTGCTTGTGTCCTTCCTGATTGTCAAAGAAAAGTAATTTTCCTGCATGTTTTCTTCAAAATTTGCTACTAAGTTCCCTGCAGCAAAGCCCAGGCAGTCCTGTAACACCAGGAGCAATGGAGACCTGCACCTTCTTGGTGTTACTCTGGAAGACCCATCACACCTGGCCAAGTGCCTTTAGTTCATTTGAAGTAGCACCAATTGTATAAAAATATTAAAATACTGTAATTTCTTGACCAATCTAGTGCAGTTTCAGTTAATTTGCTTTTCTAGAAGATTTAGGAGCAAGCATCTTTATTCAATAACTTCTCAGAGACTGTCTTTGCCTCTCTTTGCTCTTTGCCCATGACAAGATCTTCCATCCAGCAACCAGATCAGTTGGATCTCACAAGGTGCTGCTGGAAGGTGGCAGGTGGTAAGGTTGGCATTACAAATTAATAGAAGAGATGGAGTACACTGATTTCAGCATATCACCAGCTTAGCTGTGACTCTAATTTTATGAGAAAGCAAAGACTCAATGTAACTAAGGTCTCTGTTTTTACAGAATAAAAGATAAGCCCTTCAAGTAGTTAGTTCCCTTTCCTAATTTTGCAGTAACTGTTGTGGTCCTAATGCTCTGCTTCACTTTGACAAATCCTAACCTTTGCGTAATTAAGAAAGATTTTTATCACACCCATATGGACTTACTATGTTTCTCTATTTTATAAAGCCTCAAGGTTGTATTTTTATGGGACCAAAATGTTTTGCTTTTACAAAGATTCACAGTGTCTTACAACAGGAACAATTAATGAAATTAAGCAGTGTTAGAAGAGGAAATGCCTTTCCATAGAAGAGGAAATAGTGTTCCTACCCAGGATCTAGTTGATACTCTGACTTGCCTCACAGGAAGTCACATCAGGCAAGTAACACAGTGTACCTTGGAGGGGATATTAATATTTCACAGTTTTGGAGCAGACATTTCTGCACAATTTGTTAGACCAGGACTAATGTTGATTTGCATCTGCTTCACCCTGTCCTGGATTACAGAGCTGTCCTACATTACACATTGTTT